GACGTTGGTTAGGAATTTAACCAACGTCATCTAGGTAAAATTCACTCGCAAAGTCGTGGCTGAAACACCATGAAAGCTCAGAGCTTGTACATCCAAACAAGCTTTCAGGCTCTCTAGTGAAGTACTTGGCTTGGGCACTAGGAGGCAAAATGTCAAAACATTATTCATGTGAGCAGTGGGGATGGAGAGGAGAAGAGAGGAGAGATGGAGAGACAGACAAACTCAGACAGAGGAGCATTTCCATATTGAAGCCAGCACAGCATATGGAAGGAGCAAAAATAAGTATTCACATGCAAATGGAAGTGCATCTCTTGAATTTATGCAAACATAAAAAACACACACTTAAGGGCAAACAGCAAAGTGAGTGCATCCACTTCTCTTTTGTTTGCCAACATTAAATGCAGATCCATCTGCATTTTTCATATTAAGCTTTTAGGTGCTTGAATCTTAAACTTGCCATTTTTGACGAGTGGGCGAGTATAGTAAGAGTTCATAGCCTGGTAGGTGGCCTTGGGTTTGCAACTGTTAAAGTGAGAATACATAATGCTAAAAAACATGCAGTGGCTTTTCCTTTCTCTTATGCATGTCTGATTCTAAAATGTAAATGCTATATGCAGCTCTCCACTTCGGGAAGGAAACAACTTCAGCTAACCTAAAACAAATATATGTTTTGGCTCTGCTCTGAATCTTAAAGAACTACTCAAAAAGCAACCACACTACAAAACTCAGGTATACATCTTAATGTGCCACCTTATGAAACTTCAAACACAGTCCTAGTCTTTGTATTGTATATGGAAAGATGACAATCACATAAACAAGTGCTTTGTCTAGGCATGGGTCACAGATGTCAACATCAAAGTTGAAAAACGTGACCCATTTCCTTTCCAAGCTGTAATTGCCTCCTACTATGGTATCATGCATAAACGCGTCACATAATCATGTGCCTTGAAGAGACCGAAAATTGTTGCTGCTTAATTGTCTATAGATGACATTTGACGATAATCCCTTAAATAGCATATCCTCTGCAGCTGACTAACCTCCTTCACAATCATTTTGACATTAAGGTCTACATGTGGGCCTATCGGAACTGCCAACAGGGAATCATTCGTGATGGCCATTAGTGATTGTATTTATAGTTTAGTGCGACAAGGACGGGAAAATCTGCTGTGAATATGTCGAAACCTCTAAACCTCCAATACAGTATGCATATGTCTAATCAAACGTAGTGAGAACATGTTCTGATCTTTATTGATTTCAACTATAGCACATGTGGGCTGGAGTTAACACAATGCACTTAAATAAGCTTAAAATCTATCTTTTGTTTCTGAAAACAACCAAAAACACCATATAATTATATTTTAGGAACTATTTTGCAATTGTCAGTGGGAAAAGTCATAGCAAATTAAATTATTTATTTCCTTCTCTCTGGCAAAACATTGTAACAACAGAAACTAGCACAAATACACAAACTTTCAGCATTTCCAGAAGACGACAAGTCTGAATGTGGCAGTTTTACAAGGGACATTAGGAGGCACTTTGCCTGCATTATTCTGCATAATTAGGTCTCCTTGAGGTCCACTTTTGGCATTTGTGCTCCTATTTACCCACATCTGTTTGCAACTAGTTGACCCATATTGCACATGGCTGTGGAATGTCCAGGAAAATTGTTCGAGACTGCAATCTGTGGTCCTATTTTTGACCTCCACTCCCCCAAAAATCAGTTTGCCACGGTTCTAAGATTGCTGAAGCAAAATGAAATAATGTGGACTGCAGCAGTTTGTCCACATATATACTGTCCATGTTATCTACTGGAGTTAAAAGCCAAGAGTATTGATACAGTACATATTGCTATAAATAACTAGCAAGATACTATACATGGGCTAACAGCTGACCTTTTTTCATTCCAAACACCCACAATGGGAATCATCAGTGGAGCCACATTTAACTGCAGCTGGCAGGGTCAAGATGCAAAGATTATGAGCACTAATGAATATTAGCCAACTTGCAGCCGCTGAGTGTTTAGATGCAGTTCACCCCCATTGATTTCTCTGCCGGGTGAAGACAACTTTATCCCCGTGGCAAGTCCCTGGCTTATCTCCCCCGACTGCAAGGCAGCCGACAGACAGACAGACAGACAGACAGACAGACAGGGTGTTTTCCTGGCCCCGTTTCAGGATGATTCAAGCCTGGCAGGTGTGAGCGAGATACCTGACTGAGGCGAAACACACAGGGGCAGCAAAGAGCAGAAGGGATGTTTGAGTAAGAGTGGGATAGGAGTGGACAAAGATGCCCAGCAGTGAGGGGGCAGCCATATAGGGGAAATATTCAAGGCAGCACAATTAACACAAAGCCTAGTGTGTTGGATTATCACAGAGAGCAAGTGGCTGTGAAAGACAAGGAGAGAGAAAGTGAGAAGAACTGGCGAGAAAGGTGGCAGATGGCTGTAGAATTGAATGTGTCCATACTGAGCAGCACAGGAGGAAAGAGAGAAGAATACAACAGAGTAGGAGAGAAATACCACTGTAATTGAACTTAAAGAGCTTCATTTCAACCTCACGTCACAGAGCCGTACCCAACAAAACACTAATAGCTGTGGAAAAGGAGCAGATTTCAAATGTGTTCTCATTGATTCACCACTGCACCTTTGAGAGGAAATTACTTTGACACAGTGAAGCATGAAAAAAATAAACAGTGCCACTGCAACTTGGCTTATTTTCTAGCTCCATAATTTGAGACTCCGATGATGACCGGATAATAAACTGATGAATAAACAGGAAACTGGAAAACTTTCTGGTGGTAAGTGTGTTTGGATTAGCATTACTGTGACCAAGACAGAGGTACACACACAGGAAAAGATTCTCTGTGATATTTATGGATGAAACAGAGATTAATTTCTTCAAAAACCCCGCTTAGGGCAGACCCTGTGTACAAGGCCAGCTGCCTCAGTAATTCATCCCATTTATCATCAACTCAAACAACAAAGAAGAAGACTTGGGGCCATGTAAAGTGGCAAAGCCCTTATCAATGGTGTCAAACACAAATACACAATGAGCTGCAGGTCATCATTATTTCTGACTTCATGTCCTTCAATCAGAGGGGGTGACACAGCTGGGGGGCCACCGGTTGGACACTTCTATGCTAATCCATTAGCCACCTGCTTTAAGAGAGGGGGAGTTCACGCTTGATTACATTTCGCCATCTCCCTCAATAAAACGGGAGAGACTGAGTCAACAGTAAAGTAGTGATTTCTGCTGTTAGGATTGTTTACCTTCATTCCCCTTCCCCGTTTTATTGCTCCTCCATTTTCCACCATGTTTTTGTATTCAGATTATGCTTTTTTCAGTGAAATTGTGTCTTGTTTATCATCTTGAATTCTTTGTTCCTTTCTTGTTTTGTGGAGAGGGTTTTACTTGCCCTGTGGGTTAGACTTAGAATGATTATTATGACTGTGCAAATGATCTCAAATCTATGTTGTATTACATTTTCTGTAATGATCAGAGGTAATTACACAAAATTACCTCAAGAAGTAGAATGTTAACACTGTTAACACTTTGTTTCTATTTTCAGGCACTTTGTGGTGCTTCTAGCCACTGTCCTTGGTATCTGCTTTTGCTGTATTCTGCACTCAGCAGCACCACTCTGGGAATTAGTGTTCAAACCTCTCGTTTGGCTATAAAGGGAAATGTACAACAAGAAAGGCTATGCTGCAACTATACAGGCACTCTCACTTTACCAGTATATGGGTCCGCGCTTAGGTAAAGCTCCCTGCTAAAAGACGGCCTTTACATATCTAAGGGTGCTGCATCAAGGCACAGGCATTGTGTCCAGCAGCTTTCCAAGTCCTCACAACATTTCTGTAACACTAGATGTGGAATGGACTGTGTGCAAACCAAGCATCGTTTGCCCCAGATACAATTCTGTTCCCTTTGAGTCACCTCTGGTTTAACAAGATCCCAGTGGTTTCATTTCACTGTTCACTACACACTCTCACTCCTCACACCTTCACAGATGTGCACAGCCTCTAGGATCCATCTAGGTGTTTATAAATAAGGCAAACTGTATAGAGAGCAGAAGACCCACCCCAGTACCAAGATAGCTCATGTTCTACAAGCCTTCGTTGAAAAAGAGATCTTTTTTTATCGTTCTTTCTAAAAAAGCTCAAACATTATACTGGAATTTTCTGAGCAACAGGTATCTACTCCTGTACTCGATATTAACATTTAAGCATTTTGGCATGTTAACAGAGATTAAAAAAAAAATGTGTCCCATTCAGCAACTCCAGCTCCCATAACTGTGATTCATGTGAGGCTGTTAAAAGCTAAGAAATAACCACAAAGAGCATTGTGTTCAGACTGTTGTAATGTCTGATGTTCAAATGCCTGTGTGAACAGATGCTTGTATTTCCAACTATAGTGCCTGGTTGTCTGAGCAAAACTGATCAGAAATGGTTCATTCCTGAGTCATACCTGACATTATTTATTTCATCACTGAAATCAGTTTTATCTAGTTAAAGTAATAATCTCAAAGATCTTCACTTCGTTCTTTTGGCTGCACCTATAGCGATAAACGGTAATTGCAGGTGTGTTTTTGGACCTTAGTACCCAAAGATCCAAAGAGTGTCGCCTGTGTGATGTCAGTCCCTAAGTTTCATCGTCTGCAGTCATTTATCTTTTCTTCGTTTGTTCAGATACAGTAACCTTAACCTCATCCCCCTAGCAAAGACCTGAAAAAACAGTACACGGTTTCACACACAAGCGAATTAAAGAGCGAGTCGGTTGCGTTAGCTCCGCCCTCTCAGGCGGACCAACTGCTGCTGAATGGTGGCAAACATGTCACTAACTGTGTGCTGCTTGTGATGTTCGCTGGGAATGTCTGTGGGTCATAGGCTCAATCACCATTGTGTTACCTCTTCATTTATTTAATTGAAAATCTTTGAGATTATCACTTTAACTAACACATATGACTGGAACAGTTGTGTGTGGTCCTGGTGAGTGTCGTACCGTGATCTAAGATGATGAGCTGTGCGCTGGACTGGATGTTGCCTGCATCGTTTTCTGCAAGGCACTGATAGAAACCCTCATCTGACTTGACCAGACCTAGAACCTGCAAGTTGTGCTCCTTCTACAAAACAAGAAGAAAGGGAAAGAAATAGAAAAACAAAGACAAGGTGTTAACAATGTTACAAGAAGCATTTTAACCAATCTCAGACTCTTTATTGTGACACTATGATAATGCAGGTAATGATAGTACAGCTACAAATGCACTTACAATTATTTTGAAGTAGTCACTGGGGATGACAGCATCTCCATTCTTGACCCATTTGACAGTGGGAGCTGGTGAGCCTGAAATCTCACACTCAAAGACGATATCCATGGACTCATGGGCATAAATGTTGGCTGGCCGCTTGGCAAACTGGGGAGGAACTGTGGAATACAGATAAGAACGAGGAGTTAACGTTTACATGAGAACATTACATTTACTGTCAAAGTTCAGTGGAATTTACTAAAAAGAAAGTAGTAAGAGTCATATTTTGCTTATGAAATTCTGAAACCCATTTGTCAAAACTACCCAGCCAAATCAAACTCCAGCACTCTGGTCTCTGCCAGGAAATGAACAAGACCAAATGATGCCATGCCACCCCTTCAACTGCCAAATTGCCAGTTAAGGGAGGGTGGAAAGAACAACAAACTGTATCATCTAACAACAACTTATCCAATTATCTTCTGCACCATTCACACAACTGTGACTTTTTTAGCAGATGGCAACACGTGGAATATTTAATTGAAAGGTTCAATAACCTCTCTTCTTATTTATTCAGGAATGGGTCAAAAACAACAGCCACTGTGGTACCAGCACAGTGTGTAAGCATGCTACACTAGCTAAGGCGAGCACTTGCAAAACTCCCCTAGTCCTGGTAATGAGGGCCAGAAAGGAGTTATTTGATCTGCTGGGGTGATACAGCGCCTCATCAATCTGTCCTGGAACAAGGTCACCGGGAGCGCAGGGCCCAGGCCTCGTCCTCTCTCTATAATTGGACTGTATGTGCATGTGAGGAGAGACAGAGCAAGACAGACTGTGCATGTTTGTGTGTGTTTCTGTGCCTTTGCTGCCTCTGTGCATTCTCTGATAAACGGCGACCTCGCTGACCGCCGTTTAAATGACTGTATTGTTAGTGTGTTGCAGTGTGTCAAGCTTCGCCATCAGCCTCGTGGGCTCTGTGATAGCTAGTTATTAGCATCTATTTTGCCGCTATTCACATGGGCTGATTGGATATTAGAAGCAGTGGGTGGATTAGGTCCTTTTCTGGCTTTATTCAGCAGGGTAACTGGTTGTGAGGTCAAGTCCCCCTCATCTGCTTGATGTAACTGTGGCTAATTTATTCTAACATGAAATAGCTAGTTAACAGATTAGGCCTCATTCTGTTGGGACACACAGTTTCCAGCAGCAAGAAAACTAAGACTCTAAAATTATAGTTATTTGTAATTAAAACTACTAAAAAGGAACTATCCGTTGTATACACATTTCTCTACTAATGATAGCATCAAAACACCACAAAGCAGTGCAGCTACAGAACACATGTTTGCATTTTCCTGACCTTAAAATGCACTTTGCCCATCTGTTTGGTATCTTTATGACCTACACATAGCACAGGGACCAAAGGTGGGAAGAGAGGTGCAACTCGACAGAAGTTGTACACACAGAGATAGCACAAAGCCAGTCCAGGGGCAGCACCTGGGTGTCCTCACTTTATTCCAATTCGTCTATAAAAAGCAGTTTTAATTGCAAAATGTGATATAGCAGGACTGTACGTCATATGTTTTGATCAATTTCATAAAATATATTTCCACATCTCCCTCTGGATAGCCATGTAAACAAGATAATTGTGGAGAAATATCAGTGTATGCAATCATGTAAACAACTTTTTGGCAGCAATAGCGGCTGTGATCCTGTGAGTTATCAAAACAAAACAAAACAAAACTGAATGCTACTTTATAAATTACATTAGTGAAATCAAGAATACCTTTGACATTGTGTACCCCACATTTTTCAAAATACTGAGTGCATTTCTTTGTGAATGCACATGGCTCACTGTTCTTATCAAGTGGCCTTGCTAGCTATATTTATATGCCCATAGGCTCAACTTTTTAATGACAGCTACAAATTCATACATGTCACTCTGACTGTCAAAAGGTATTCTTCAGTAGACAATACGATTCTCTTAAACTTCACAAATGAAACATATTTAACAGTGGAGGAATATCCCAGTTTCCTTTGAGGTTTGATGCTATAAAATAAAAAACAACCTTGCAGTGTTTCAAAGAAAAGCCTGCTGTACTGTATCTATTTCTCTATGACTTCCAAATGCTTTCCAGCTTTCCAACCGTACAATGTAGCAGTACAAGTCAAACACAAAACAACTGGATAGAGCCACAGAATACTGAAACCTTCCCTCGTCTTGCTTAATGAGTGTCTAGACTTTTCTGTGAGCTACTGTGGTGAATATTGACGACTGAGACAGGGATGGCAATGAGGATGGTGATGCTTTTAGACTGGATCACTGTATGATTGTCAAGACAGCCATCACCCTGCTCTGTGTGCACGCTTATGTATATGTCTGTGTGGATCTGTGTGTGTGTGTGTCTACTGGTGTTCCCTGCAGGGGGCTGTGTGAGCTGTGAATAATGTGTTTCACAGTGTGGTGTCCCCTGGATATTTGCTTCCAGTAGCTGTGCAGCAGAGGCAGGTGGAATCCTTGGTTTACTTTGGTGTATCAGGACACAGTGTTAAAACACCAGTGA